ATATACACATACATATATATATACATATATACATATACACATATATATATATATATATATACATATATACATATATATACATATATACATATACACATATATATATATATATATATACATATATACATATATATACATATATACATATATACACACATATATATATATATATATATATATGTATATGACAGAAGTATGCACCTTGTTAATAACTGCTCTCTAGAATCTTCTACTCAGGTCACAGACTATGGCTTCATCCACTTTCTCAAAGACTGAGTGCTTTTACTGCAAACCCACCTGGATAAGAACCCCCGATGAACCCCTCTCCCCCTCAGGGTTTTCGGAAACTGTTAAAAATATTGCTAATGTTTCATGTTTCTTGTGTATGAAAGCACTGCAGGCTCTGACAAACGTCCAAAGTAGCTCTGACGACCCGTTTTGTGTGTAAAGTGTCATAAATTTATGTGGGAGCTTGATAAAGCTTGCTCAGCTGATAAATCACCATGCTCATAAAAGCCATTTGCTTCTCTGTGTCTGTCTAGTTTTCAAACATTCACCTCACTCCTACATTGAGCCAAATTTCTGTCAGAGCAGTAAGACCTGGCTTTACCTCGTATTTCCCCTTATCACCATCTTCTAATAGGAGGAGTCTGAGGAATCCTTGAGCTCAGACTTATTTCTCCAACACCCACCATGACAGGCTGAAACAAAGACACATGCTTCTTTTAAAACACCGGCTAATTTCTGTCACATAAAGCACACAAATTGATGACAGATGCTGGCATGACTGCTGCTGAGGAACAAGTGTGGAATAAAACAGTGATGTGTGAATCTGAGAGCGGGGATGAGGTCTGCGAGATAATAAAGTCATGGAATGGCTCACAGCCGCCCGCCAACTCCTCTTGTTTTAGGACTTGCAGGAGCTCCACCCAGTGAAATGCTGCCTCAGCACTTCTCCATCCAAATGGCTGCAGTTCAGTTAGAGGTCTCGCTGCCTCAGACCCCAGATGAAGCACCTCGGAGACCCTACGGCTCCTAACCACCCCCCCTGCTTTCGAGAGGCCGACCTCTGACAGACACCGCTGCACTGCCAGAGACATAAAGCAGAATAATAGCTGCTCATTCTGCCCCGCTGCTGCCGATCAGACAGAACCCGACTGTCCAAAACCATATTTAGCTGAATGATAAGTGACAAATGAAGGTGAATGCCTCAGCAAGTGGCCTCAGTGAAATCTGACCCACGAACCACGTTAAACATATTTAGCAGGTTATAATCTTGGCAGGCTGCTTGAGTCTGACTGATGGACTTTGTGACAGCTTTGTAAGAAAATAGTCCCTTAAAGGGAAACGTCTGTTCTAGTCATTATAGTGGAGGACAGACTCATACAATATTGCTTGTTTGCAGGTGATAGTAAAGTAAAAAGGAGTTAAAATCATATTTTTCGTTGTTGTAAAAAATAGGAATAAAATTAAACGAGCTTGATTTTTAAATAAATAACAAAAGTAGTAGTGTTCTGCATTTTAAAGTTACTGGACTGCACTGTCATGAAGTCGAATAAAAAAAAAAAAATCATTCATGTTGATGTGTTTTAATGAAACACTTGAAAGCAAATTTTGTGAATAGCTGCCAACTACCACGTCTGTTTGTTTACAAATGAAAACAGCCGAAGCGACTGAAAATGGGTTAACAACTGGGACATCCACGGACGCGCTGTTTAGGCTTGAGAAGTCTGAAACTTTTGACACATTTATATATTTAGGCTCACATTGGTTGAGTAAATTATTCTAAAACTTAATTAAAATAACCCTATAAGTATAATAAGGAGTGAAAATAAATGTGATTTGAGTTATAAACTTTCTGAGCGTTAGAGTTGAAAATGCGTTGAAACATTAAACTTAGTGGCTTGATGCCTGTTATTCATTCCTGACAGGTCGACTCATTCTTTCTTATTCTTATAGCGTTTAGCAGCTGACTCACTCTAATGTTATATTTTCAACTAAACTTCTTCCTTGAGATTTTAGG